AGACCAATATTTCTAATTGAATTAGAATATGACCACAGGTTCTCGCTCATGTATGTAATGGTAAATCGGTTACTACCGCTCTAAATTCGGCAGAGTTTCACCGATATACAACGATTCGATGAAACCAGGCCAGGGCTATCTGTGATTCGCGGCACTGGTCAGAAAGCACAGACAGTAGGTTTGTACGGCAGAGTTTCTCCTTAGGCAAAAGGGCATACTCTGGATGTACAAATTCAGAAGCAAAAATATTGAGCTACTACAAGGAAAACTTTTCAAAAGGTTTATAGACTCCAAAGATTAGATAATCAAGAAAAAAGAAAAGATCTCTGGTCTATTTGCCAACTGTGAAAATCCAAGGCTACATCACTGACCATTTTTCCGTGCTACCCCGGCTCAAGAAATGCCACATGTACTCAAGTCTAGGGCGAGGCATTCCAACAGATCCCCATAGGTTTGAAACCACTTTCTCACAGAGAGACAAGTCCTTCCTCTAATTTTAGTGGCAAAAGATCAGGCCCAGCAAGAACATCCTATAATATCTTCATTTATGTTATTTTTTTTAAATGTTTTTAAGAACATGAAAAGCTTTCCTGAAGCCCAGAAAGATTCATTTCCCCAAACTGCAGTGCTCATGTACTCAGTAGGAACTTGCTGCAGACAGCTACCTGAAAAATAAAATCGAAACACACACACACACAAAAAAAAACAGGAATGAAAAATATAAAATCCTCTTACTGCCTATTTACTTAACTCTGACCCAGGCACTGCTCCTAGTAATTTCTCCATGGCATGCTTTTACTGGAGAAGGCAATTCATTCCAGATCACAAAATATTTTCACAAAGTATATTATACATCTCACAATGTCTGGAGAGAAAACCCACTTCATTGCCTGTCTGTAAAATGAACTGGGAGGAGAGAGTGAAATTTCACTTTAGTAACCTGTGTCAGGCCAGGTTTGTGGATCCTGTCTTCAAAAGAAGCTCTGTGCCAGTTTAAAGTGACTGCAGTGTTACCCCTTCTGAATAAAAGAGGCCTGATTTTCAGAGGTGCTGATCATTCACAGCTATTCTTCAGTTACAGACGCTGGCAAATCAGGTTCAACAGTTCCAAACTGGAACATGGGAGAACGAAAATTAATTTGTGTCAACGTACAAAGAAAACACGTTGGCTAAATGGGCCGGCTATCAATTCTTCATTAACTCATGTGAAATAACATCTAATAACTACATCTGGCCATGCTGGCAGGTGAAGCAGCTTCACAAACATGTGGTACAAGTCTTAACAGAGCTCAAACTGGATAGCACAAGCGTCACACATCAAGCTACAGCCTGGCGGATGGCACTTAAGACTTCAGGAACCTGTTCTCACATCCCAGATGGGCTGTGGCATAACCTCAGGCTAGTCATTTGGTGCGTCTGTCCCTTCATTTGTCTTCGTGAAAACAGGCCTAACAGAACAAGCACATTAACACATGGGTAGAATGGGAGCCTTACTCGTGCCCAAGGCAGATTAGAGGAGTATGTCCACAGAAAAAGAAAACTTGCTGTGCTCTGGGCTGCTGTGTTCCTGCCACACCACTGGCATTCATTTCCACTGAGGGTTCTGCACCACAAATATTACCAACGTGAACTCTGCATGCCAACATACTTTATTTGGAAGAATATCTCTATGGGGAGTTATACCAATCTAGCAACTGTGATTAAATTATACCAATACAATCATACTGATTCTCCATGTGGAAAAACCTTTATCCCTCCAAAAAAAGCAGAAAGTGCCACATTACTTCGCAAGAAACGCTCTTTACTTCTTGTCACATTTTAATGTTTTTTCTTTTTTCCTTTTTTTTTTTTAATCTTTCTTTCTTTCTTCGCTGGCAGGGGATTTTCCAGGAGTTGACAGTGAAATCGTAACTCTAAAGGAAGGCGAGGACTTATATCTCCATTGCAGTCTTGGCAGTAACGACAGTTCTGCCCGGCAGTGGTTAAACCCTCACGGGTTTGCCATTTTTCTGAACACCCAGCGGGGTAAGTGTGAAAACTGAATGCAACAGACTTTCCACTTAAGAGTTGGAGGGTCAGTTAGAACTGGACTTTCCTAGCTCCCACCAAAGGCCACGTCTGACTCACTTGCTACCCAACTACTTGAGATTGTTTTAGATTCACCTTCTGTCAGGAAGCTGACAAAATGGAAACCTCGTAAGAGCGGTCCGGCAGTAGAGCTTTAGCAATAAACTGTGTTTACTACCACCACCAGGCTAGCACAACAACCCACTCTTGCCTTACAAGAGTAACATGTTCTGCGGGCTTGCCTGAAAGCCCTGGCTGCCCCTATGCTCATCAGCAGCGTTAGATTTAGCATACCAAGAGGTAAACATTTAGAAGACAAGCAGTGGCTTCTAATTTATGCTGACAAACCCATAGTTGCAATTATTTTGTTCCCTCCCACTCCCTACAACTTATGTCTCCCCATCCTCCTCTTTCCTCTTGTCAGTCCAAACGTGAGAGTTTTGAGAAAGCGGGGACTGCCTTTGTCTTCCCCATTTGTACAGCACCTAGTCTGTATCCACATTTGATAAAACCTTTAGGTGGAAGAACGATAATAATGACTGGAACTCCTCCAAACGATACTGGGTCCCCAGCTCCCATTGAAACCATGCAGGAACTGAGCGTCCTCTTCAGCTGTTCTCTGGAAATCCCAGCCACAAGGTCTTGCCTCCTGCATCAAACCTTCCAACCAGCATTTCCAGCAGGTTTTGCCAGTATTTCCAAATGGAAAACGTCATGAATAACTGTTGCTCTTATTTATTCGGTTGTAACAGCAAGTGGGATGAATGATCATTAGAAATTTAGAGTCTCATAAATGACTCATACCTCTATATATTGGGAAAGGGTTTCCTGGGGAACCCAGGACCCTGAATTCAGCATTCTGTGTAAGGCATATGAACCATTAGATACTAAAGGGATCCAAAAAAACTTCAATGCTGAGCCACTGTCAGCTAATCAACAAGGAAAACAGTGCTAGCTCAACCCCCACTGTGCTGCTTACACCTCCAGGTTGGAGAATCACAGCAGGCTATGGTAGCGTTTCTCTTTCCTGCTGCAGTCTATTAGTCAGATCAGGCACCCAAGAACTGGAAGACTTGGGAGTAATTCCCCTCTCCATCACAGTTATCGCTATATTTTACATATATGTATGTCCACTGTATTTTACACTGCAGGAGCAAGCAACAGTACCAATGAATCCTTTCGCTTATGCAAGTTCTCTAGGGCCTTGGCCAGAGTCACAAACACTCTCTTTCCACGCAAACAATTTTGGACTGAGGCACTTAATTGTGCCCAAATCCTGTTTCAGGCATCTGTGTCTTTTAATGGCTGTAGCCCCATTGATGCTTTTTTAAAATTTTCCTGAGTTGACACAGCAGTTTAAGAAGGTTAATGAAAGAATGCATCCATCGACATTTACAGGGGCAGACCCTAACCCAGATGAATAAAATGGTATCAGTCTTAAATTACCCCAGGAGACAACTCAAAGTTTCAACACACCATGATTATCCCTCCGTAAGATGCATGACATAAAACCAACAAGGATTACAGCTCGTAAAGCACTTAGTTCCTTGATCAGTTAAAAACACTAGAATTTTTCCTTTACAAAAAAAAAAAAACCCTTATTTAGAGAGGAACCAAACTTTATGCTGCACGCGGGCATTTTCATTTTTTATTCTGAATCACCAACATGAACCTTTGTCATATTGCTTCTCCAATAAACCACTTCATGAATCAGTTTCCTCTAGTGTCATTGCAGCTAAAAATATGGCAAACTAGCTACAAGTCTTACATCACAGTCATTTCAAAATCCTTTTAATAATATTTAATCGCTTCCATAAATTATAATACTGCTGTGATTTCTCCCTACTCTCTACTTTCACAAAATCTCAGCTAAAAAATTAAAAACAACAAAAAGATGTTTCTAAAGTCTTTATCTCCCTAATGGCAATTCACATCCTCAATTTCAGTTCACTTTAAAGGCAGATAGTTATTTTCTGTGCTGTGATTGCGGGAAAAGTCAATGTGACTCGCTGGCTTGACCCAGAGATTCCCACAGGTCATCTTGCAGGAGGATGTCTAGAGAGAGAAAGAGGACTGCACAGCAGAGTAGAGATATTCTAAGAGACGGTGTCATTAAAATTCAGCTAATTAGACAAGGATAGGAGAACAGAAACAGCCAGCCAATTAATACACAGTTAATAAAGAGATGGTGTGGGGTAATCGTAAGCGTTCACGTACACACCACGAAATACATCCAAAGAGGCGGAGTGACTTGTTCAAGGCCAAATAACTGGTTAGGGAATGGGGAAGGGAAAACGGTCCCCAGTTCACAGACCTTGGCTCTGTGCTCTATATTGATGGGTTATATCACTGCTCTGACCACGCATCATGTCCTCACACCCCAACATTTGCTTAAATTTATCCCTCTAGGTATTTAAAGAATTCAAATTGCTGTAAGAGCTAGGAATACAGGAATAAGACCCACTGAATGCCTACAGGCAGGTCTAAGAGGATGCAGGAAAGTTAGTGGAAAGGAAACATAAAAGGAATCAAACAAAGGAAGTTTTCAGAATTCAGCTCCATTACCCTAGGCAAACTACTTCAATTCTCATGCCCCACCCCACCTTGGTCTGTCCTACTCGGGGGTGCTGACTGTATCTTACTGTGGAGACATACCTAACCATCTTGTGTGGTTATCCAGATGTCAAATAATGCTGCTACTCCTTTTGCTGGAGGGGAAACTGAGGCAGAGAGAGTAAAAGACTTCCACAAGAAAACATGTAGTTTCCTTCCTCTTGGCAGCACGCGCTCTCTAGTTTACTGTTGTCTCTGTAGCGCAGCATCAACTAGAAATGCTTTGTGCTAGAACTGCTCAGTTGTGTCAAATGTTTATGAATAAAAAACACGCTAAACAAAACCAATCTTATTAACGCTTTGATTATCTGTCTTGCTCTGATGTACCAATACACATAGCATGCTCTTTTTTTTTTTTTTCCCCTCCCCTTACAGGGTTAAAGGATCAAAGGTACACACTTATCCATTATTCAAAGGATGAATTATCTATACGACTGTCTAACGTAACAGTGCATGATGAAGGCGTGTATAAATGCTTCTACTACGGCACCCTGTTCAAAACCAAGAACAAAACTGTTGAGGTGTTAGGTGAGTTCATGTAAAGAAGTTGAATTTACACAGAGACCTAACAAAAACCTATTATTCTCCTATCACGCTGCTGGTTTAAAAAAAAAAAAAAAAAAAAAAAAAGCTACCATTCTATTCGGGAGGAGAGGAAGAAAGCAGATTTCTAAAAGTATTTAAGCATCAGTCTGCCTCTTTCAGGGCATTAATACCTTTCAGGATCTGACCCAGCAATCCTGCAGTATCATTACATGGTAATATGCGTCAGTCCTTAAAGAATATCCTGAAAGCACAACAGCGTAGATAGCAAGCAGGCTGTCTGCTCCATTTGTCCTCAGGCTGCATAGGATACAGCTTGATGCTGATTTCTCTCTTGGAACCTTTGGGGACACAAGGGAGGAAGAGTACCAGCTGGATGCCAGGCAACTCTTGCTCTTTTCCTCCTTATTACCGCTAGCATAAAGGGGAGAGACGTGCGTAACCAGGGAGTCGCAATCCCCTCCCGGCATATAGTCTCCTAGAGCAGCTGAAATTAAGAGCACTCACAACTTCTTTACACCTCTAACTTGCTTTGGGACAGACGAATAAAAAGACAAAGCCCGTTGCTGAACTCAAAAATTGCATCTTTGCATGCAACTGTACAGTGCGTAACACAACGTAATCCTGGTCTTAGCTCAGGCTTCCCAAATAACGATACAAACACAGGTATTCATAAAAATGAGTAAAAGACATACTACAACTAACTGTAAGTCTTCTTGCTACAGCTGCTCCTTCCAAACCAGTAGTGGAAGCATCTCAAGATACAGAAAAAAGCATTACACTGTCTTGCTGCACCAAAGGAAGTAAACCACGGCCCCAGATTACCTGGCTGTTGGACAACGGGATAGAGCTTCCTGGTAAGTATTAAAGAACCAGGGGTTGGTTACTAAAAATTTCTTCTGATCAACCCTGGCCATGTTTAGAGGTACTGAATGGTGAAATTCTTTCTGCAAAGAGTACCACTCCACCTCCGTTCATTTAGCGTGACTCAGCCCCTGATGACACATTTCTGCAGCAAAGTCAGTACTAGATTCTACTGGTTATACAGGGAAGAGAAAGTTCATCTGATTAGCTCAAACGCAACTCAGAATAACAGCACTTTGCACCAAAATTCTTTCAGGATCTGGACTGAACTTCCACTGAAATAAAATGAAATCAAAACTCTGAAAGCACAATTTTCAGAGCCAAAGCATAAAGTCAGTTAACAAGTCTGTAATAACTATTTCCATTTTGTATGTGGTAGACAGACTTTCCTCAGTCTCACTGAGCAGCTCAGTTGCACCAGCAGCCTTTCTCTCATTAATCTGTTCACAGCCAGAGAGCAGTTCACTAGCAAAACCAAGAACAAATCTCAGGAAGCCCAGCCCACAGCACCCTGCTATGTTCTGCCCATTGAGAAACCTGCGTATACCTATGCAGACGTAGCAGAAGAGGAATAGAGCCATCAGGTAGTAGCTCAATTTAACTGGTATACAATATAAAAAGTGACTTTGAAGACCACATTCGAATAATAGCTACCTTATCAGCTGTAACTGTAACATACTGCAGAGGAAACGTACATCCTCATTAATGATTGAGGAAAATACCCACAGATGCCACTATATTTTCTTTCAGGTGTTAACAAGCTCCCGCTTGTATTTTCTATTACAAAGCAACACATTCAGAGCTTAGCCTGTAATCTTTTGTCCAAGACAGCTTTTGAATTAGGAGTTCTAGGAAACAACAGAGAAGTGGGCTGGCCTGAATACAGCTAGAAATTAAGACTAAAAAAAGAAATCCAAGCTGCCTGTTACACAAGCATTAATGCAACCGCATAAAGCCCTATGCTTTAAGGAATTACACTCCATGGAAGTGGCATGCCTGGTAAGCGAGTTACATGAAAGCAAGGGTAGTGAGGTGTCTGTGATTTCAGGGGGGAAAAGGTGCTCTGTAGTCGTGTATGGATCTTGAGAAAGCAAGCTCTGAAGTCATAAGCGCATTTGGGAAGAGCTCAGTTGTGTATAACTGTGCAGGGACCTGGGGGGAATACTACCTATAAAGATACACAAGAGTTTGGGGAAGCAGCATGTCAACTCTAATCTTTTAGATACATTTTTCTTCTAAAAAAGAGGGGTTTCCTTAAACTTGAAAGAATCTCAGTATAAAATATATTTGTAATGCTACAATACACAACTCAGAGACACTAGACACTTTCCATAGCATGTAAATCCAACCGTGCATTTCTCCACTTAGTTTAATAAAAAATTTATACTCACTTTTATCTCCTCCTTGCACCTTGGATTTTTAGTACTGGTTCCAGCCAGATATTAGAGCACTTTGTACCAACGAGAACTACCTGGCCTTCAACCTTACGTCCCATAGGCATCTGGGAAGTGTAATTAAGCAACAGAGAGCCTGTGCTGTGTTTGTTTGACTAGTTTAATTTAGGGTTCATTTGGGTGAGAAATATTTATACAAAGAGGAGCTGATTCACCACGTGGCCTGTTTGTGGCAGATGCAAATTAGCGTATTTGAAAAGAAAAAAAATAACTGTCCTAATTCTGTTTCTCAAGTTTTCTGCATTTGCCCCTCCTTTTCTGCAGGTGACTATCGTTGAGTAACACACCTTCCTGTCCCATCCATTCCTAGCTTTAATCACTAATATCACTAATACTTATAATAATCAGAAAATAGCTAATATATTTTAATTACTGGCAGCACCTCAGTTCCACCACGGCACAGCAGGAGCAAACCAGCAGTAATTACTGAGCTGTTGCTGGTAACTAAAGACTATTTCCTTTCTAGCAAAAACGCTATGAAACCCTTTTGAGTCCTTATATGACCCCACTGGAGATGGTAAGAGGGTTGAGAAATACTGGCCTATATGATATAGCAAATTACCTGTAAAGGCTAACTTGGAAGCAAGGAATTGCTCTTATTTAAGGAGTATGGATGTTACTGAGGGTAACAAGCCAAAGATTATTGTGTCATGATGGGCATTTAAGGTAAAAAATCTGAAAAAAACCTCCCTCTTCCACAGAGCTATTTAAACATATCCGGAATTCAGTCATTTATCTCTTAGTTTCACATGAAATACATCTTTATTTTTTTCCATATAATATAAATGAGTATAAGTCAAGATTACCTAGAGACATCTGAGAACTGAACAGAGAGGTAGGAACGCTTTCCTTGTTATATGGCTCTCTGAATTTATTTATGGCCAGACAACTGATCTTCGTGTTAAGTTCCTCCAGCCATAAAATGGGAAGAATCAGACCTGTATTGTAGAGATGATGGAGAACTGATACAGGAATTGAGTTCTGCTGATGTTTATTTATTACAAATGTAAATATTGTACACCAATAAAAATGTCACAACTTCTCTGTATTTTGAGTTAACGATTCCACAGCTATTTAGAAACATATCCAATACCCTTGGATTACCATGTAGGAGAGTCAGAACTTAGATCTCTGTCATGCTTTGAAACAGCAGGTCCTAGCCTTCTAGACTCCAAGCTGCTGGCCATCTGTGACTGCGGCACACAACTAAGCACTTTATTCCATTCAGCAGGGACTAAAAGCGCAGGTGGATGTTTGGACCTTTTGCTGCAGTCACGCAAGGCAGCAGTGCCTGTGCAAGCAGTGTCGCTGCAGGAGATCTTCCCCTAGTGAATCATGAAATAGAGTGGAGGCTTTGGAGTAAGCGGAAGAGGTACAGTGAGGACTGCACTTAAACAATGGCAGAGGAAGAAAAAATGACCTTGCTGTCTTTGGGCTCCTATGTAATCCATTTGCGCAATGAACCGCTTGTGCCCAGTAATCATGTGCTGCTTTAGCACAGCAGAGTAATGCAGATTGCCCCTGGAAGGTTTTTCACTAAATTGCTCTTGCCTGGAAAGCACTTAAATGTTTTCTTCCAATGGCTGTATAGGTGACACGAAGCACAAGTTAGAAGCTGATGGGAAGAAATGGACCACAACCAGCACGCTGACAGTCCTTGCATACCGGCCCAATTCAACATCCAGTTGCATTGTTCACCACAAACTGCTAAGAGAAGAGAAACTGACGGCATCCTTCCGGTTTGAGAGCTTCGCTAGGCCTGGTACTAACTTCAGCACTCTTTGAGCAGCAGCTAGTCCATTCTACCCCTCTAAAGAGGTGAAAGTTGTGCAGATACACGTGCAAAGCTGAAGCCCATGCTCTACTGTCCTGTGTATGGAATCTGTTTTTAAATGATGAGATTTATCTGGGGCAAAAGAAGAACTCCAGACTAAGATTTGAGGGCTCTTTTCTGGCTCTTAACTACCTTAAAATTCAGCAAACATTAAGCCACAGCAGCCCTGTCAGGTCTCATTAGCAGCCAGACTTAGTTCTCTGATGATGCTGCTAGAATTCTGTCTTAAAGCTTTAAAGATAATTCAAAGTGTTTATGTGTACAAAAAGCTGTGAAATTCCCATGTCTACAGCGTATAAGACACGCCCATGGGGAAAGCTAGTAGGGCGTAAATATTGTAAATTAATTCTGAAGCTTCTTGCCCAATAATTCTCAGAGTAGAATTTTCCTTCTGCCCATTTACTCATCTTCAATATGGATCTAATATTCCTTATTTCATGTCTCCTTAGATTGATTGATTCAACAAATGCTTATAAAGTGCTCTGAAAGCTGTACTGCTGTTGTTTTTTTCCAGTGACAACTACAAATCCTGCTCCAACTGCACTAGATGTAGATAGACACATCTCCAAGAATGAGCACTCAACAGGTAGGCTTTAACTGCTTGGCCTTTCTTTAATACACAGGTCAGATAAGACATTTTGTGTGACAGATGTTGTGTTTAAGAGTGTCTTTATCTAGAACTTGGACTGTAAAAGAACAGTTGCTGTTAGCACTGAAAAATACTTGCACAGTGTTCAGAACTGTTTGACCTTTTTCCCCAGTGACTACAGCAAAGTCAGATCTGAACAGCAGTCCAGTCTTTTCTCTAAGCTACCCACAATACAATGGTAAGATTTTTACTTTCATTTTGTCTTAATTTCATAGCACCTCAGTTTACAACCACAAAAGTAGACTAACGTTCTGTCTTTAGATGCAGAAGAATTATATGTTATGAGCAGACAAACTGGCCACGCTCATCGCATGCTAAAACTGTGAGGTGTTGAGCTGAGCCTCAGGTTTCTCTGAATGGTTGCACTAGGTGGCAGTGTCCAACAAAGATCATCAGTGCCTGTAGCACACTGCAAATTTTGTATTTACTCCACTGACGAATTAGACAATTGTTTCCAAACAGAAGAATGAAAAGGTCTGTTTCCCAAATCAGTTAATCAAAAAACAGCAAAGCGGGCACCCACTAAGTAAGCACCTGCTTAGTGTTACAGGCCAAGCAGTGAAAAGTCAGTTGCCTGATTTAGAAATGAACTCCCTTTATCTGCGTTTAAAATGTGCTACACCAGAGATTATAAACTTCACCGAATGATTACGTCATTGTGACAAACAAGTGTTTTGATAGTGAGTGAGAGCCTGTATCTTTTAACAGGGTTTTCAGCAGATGTGCATACATAACTGATAAGGAAGAAAATCTCTTATGATGTAAAGTTTTGGTAGACACAGTACGCAAGTCATTACAAATCAAAGTTAATTACACAATGATGTATTGTCTGTGTGCGTAAGAAAGTCAGAACTCATCTCTCTGTTTCCACAGGGTCAGAAATAACATCAGCTGCAGTAGGAGATGAAGAATTCTCTGGTACTTCAAGTTACGACGTCCTCAATGGTATGTCACATCATCAGAAGTGAGACAGCAGCATCCGTTTAACGGCATTTCCCGAACTGTGGGTGGTTGGACCACTGCGGACCAGGAATACAGCAAAAGATAGTCTGGGATAGGAATAGAAAGAAAATAACTGCTTTAAAGAAAAGGATATCTGTTTCTGCAAGCAAGCAAAGTGAGCTGAGAAAGAGGGAGTAAGTAGAAAGGACAAAAATGAGCCAATAGTCAAAGCTGAGCTCGGTCTTAATTTGGCTGTAAATTGAAACCATTGAGCTCAACACTGCATAAGAGGTTCTGAGGATTTTTTCTTCATAAAGCCTAGGTTGCCTTTTGATTTAAAAGAAATATAACAACCAGGAAGTGAGCACAGAGCTTTAAGTCAGGGGTTCCAGAAGTCTATTTCTGCTGCATTACCGCAAGCCCGTAACTACAGAGGTGCTGGAAAAACTATTATAGATTTCTTTAGCATTCCTTTGCCCTTCAGAGTTTTCCTTTTCGCTTCCCCAGGGACTGAAACAGCATTCAATGGAACAGTCACAGAAGAACCATACAGGACAGAAGCCTCACCATCAAGTGAAAACGTAACAACTGTGATTGCCACCACCGCCTTCAGTAAGCCCTAATTAATACTCTTCAGTGACAGCTTCCAAACATGCAATGAGCTTTCTAACATCAAGCTGGCTCTCTCTGACCAAGTGTCCACTCCAAACTGCCACAGTCAGTACATTTAGGGTAATGCTAGCTGGCAATACTGGGGAGAAACTCCAGAAAACAAAACCACTTTTAGCGTCTAGAAATAAGCTACACTGTCTGCAGGATGTGCCAGGGCACAAATCCACTGATTTCAATCAGTTTTGCTTGTTCATACCGACAGAAAAAAATTTGACTTGATCTCCCGTAAGTCTAACGAGGTGACTTCTGCACTCCTACCATTTTCATCTGGCCTGGTCCCAGATAGACGGTTCTTAATTACCGAAGACTCACAGGTCTAACGACATCAGTGTACATCTGCCTCTTTTACAGAGCAAGATCTGAAATTTGAAGGCATCAAAAAGAAGAATCTTCTGCTGCCCATCTTGGTGGCTGCTCTAATTTTTGTGCTGCTCATCATAGTCTTGCTTTTTCTGAGGAAGCTGAAAAAAGCTCATGGATTGTGGAAGAGAGGTGAGTGATGGCACTGTCAGAATAAATGCTAATGCTGGTTATTTCAGAAGAGACGAGGGGCCGGATAGCTGAGGGGCCTGCTGGCGGGAAACAAGAAACTACTCCTGTAGGCCTCTGGTTAAACATCCTTCTCCTCCAAGCAGTGACCGTGATCTGTTGCAAACAACTGTAGAAGAGTCCCTGCAAACGATGGCCTCAGGCCAAGCTTCAGCTGACACCAGTTGTCACAAAAGCCAACAGAACTGTTGTTTTAAGCGGTCTCTCTCTTGGATGCTTGAGGATGACTGAACCTCATTTTAACCAGTCTTCCAAGATTTTTATGTTCAAAGCAGAGAGGGTACAAGAAGCATGGAAAAACGTCATCATCTTAATTACATTTGTTGCCTGCACAGAAAATGATACTTCAGAGCAGACGCTGGAGAGTTATAAATCCAGATCTAATGAAGATAATCCAGGCCATGAGAAGAATGGGCAAGGTAAAAAGCTTCAACCAACCCCAACTAATTCCCATTAGATCACTGCTACCGACCACTGCCAAAGCGCACTGCTGTTAGTATTGCTGTACGCAGATATTTGCAAGTTGCACGTTTTACATTTGAATAGTCTAAAATCAAATTTTTCATACCCGTGTCCACCACAGATACTATAGCTTTGACAGGAGTGATGTAGAACTGTGCAGAATAAAAATGATTGCTTTTTATTCAGTGGGTTAGACACTGAATGATAATCACAATGGCTTTATCTAGTTTCTATATTTAATCTGCAAAAATGCTATTAAAGGCAATGTGTGGTACGTACTGGGAAGTCTACTGTTAAACAGTCCTAAATGGCTATTGTCTGATTTCACCAAGAACACCCCGATGCTTCATCAGTTCTGTCCTCAGGCAGTGACCACAGATGGGAGGCAGATCACAGATGGAGGCAGATCTGTAAGCCTCCTCAGCTGTAATATCTCTACTCCACTACTGGACTCTTGTGTAAGCAAAAGCAGGTTTTGCCAGGTGAATAGGCCTAAGTGGCAAAAAATGAGGGAATTTTGCCAATATTTTTAAACATGGGTTTAAAACAGCACCTAAAGTGCATTTTAAAAAAAGGAGGGGGGGGGGGGGGACTGGTAATTATCATCAAAGTATTTTTGAGACTTTTCTTCCCTTTTTCAAATATTTTGCAATACAATACATTTAAACCACTTCTAGCACAAACTAATCACTTGTCTATTATGTAACCTGCATTACATCACATCACTCATTTGTACATACGATATTTCTCTGCACAAAATCAGTAATAAATGTGTTTATTTTTCAGTTGTCACTCAGAAGTCCAATGTGCAATATTTGACAGACGGATATGTGGAAACAACACAGAAGAATCTGAGAGACAAAAACTCTGCAATAGCTGAGAAACTGTTTGCATGTGGAAAGGAAACTGATGTATAGCACTGTGCTAAATCTGGCAAACCTATGCTATGTACAGAGCCACTATTTTTTTCTGATATTGATATTACAATGTTCGGCTGTCAATACAATTTCTAGGAGCAGAAGTGCAAATGGCTAGTCTCAATCCGAATTGGACCACTTTCTTTTAAACAGTAGCAGAGTAGATGGGAGAAGTGCTCCTACACATCTATTAGCAATGTATGCTCTGATATACCTGTAATCATCAGAGGATTTAATGAGCAGCTGCCAGAAATAGAGCTCATCGATCCTACCACAAGTCTTAGCAGAAATTATGGTCCTGGCAATGGAATACGCAACAAGCCCTGAAGACCGCAAGATACAACAACATTCATGTAACGCTTCTGCCACCTCCTTTGCAAACACAGGACTAAACAGGAAACCCTGGGAGGTGCAAATCAATTCTGACTTCTATTACCTCATCCTGATTACCAAAACTGGATATCCAGCTATATTTAACCAAGCAGGAAAATATCCCGATGTCAAAGGGGCTAAAAAACAGTTGTCCCCCTTGCCATGACTTCTGCCTCAGTTGTTCACCCACTGAACAGTAACATCACTCCCTGCTTTGCAAGACCGAGTTGGCACTGGTTTGTAAGCCGCTTTGTAGCCAAAGCATTTCGGTACTACACCTGCACAGTCTTTCACGTTGCATAAGCTTCCAGAGATATTACTGGAATAATATCTCAAATATCACATTACTGGGAATAAAGAGATATTAATACTGGGATATATATAATTCTGGGATATTACTGGGAATAAAGTCTCAGAACAAGGAGGTTAGCAAAGGTGAAAAGGAAGTACAGTATTACACATGGGACTACCAAAATCCAGGGAGCAACTCACTTGGGAGTGAGGTGGTTTTTTGTTTTGTTTTTAGAGGAACCACATTTTGTGGTTCTCCAAAACAAAACTGAACTCCTAAAATACATGAGACTTACTTTCCTCTACAAAAGAAAGCTGTATACATTTTTCTTATGAGAGATGATTATTTCTCATCACAAGCAAGAAAAATACTGAACACTGTCTTGAATTACAATGCACATCTTCGAGAGACAACTAGGAACAATTTCATTTTTACATGGAAGTGATTTCCTTCTGACACATGGGTAATATCAATACAACACTGCCAGTCCACAGCCTTTTTTCATGTTGTTTTAACAATAAAACTTGTATTATTTAATACCTACATAAGCCTCAGCATAAAACATCCCAACTTCTTCTACACTCAGCGTGCAAGGTTTGTTTAGTGAGGACAGGTATTCATGGACAAATATATTTTGTACTATTAAATATGTCATATGAAAATGCAAACTGATGTGGCAGCTCCTCTAACACATATTTCTGCAACTTAAAAGGCAGAACTATGTCTAGAAAAGAGTGTAAGATAGGGCTCTTTGGCAGCAAGGTCTTTGAACAAGTAGATGGTTAAAAAGCAACTGCAAGCATTCACAGTGCCTTTACGTGTGTTAAATGTACAAAGAAAGTACAAGTAACTCCTATACAGAAGTGTAAAAAAACATACGTAATCTTTTTATCTTTCAAGGAAGATTAAAGCTAACATCAACTGAGAATTTTTTTCTACCAGCCCACATCCAGCACTTTTATCAATATTACAAATTTTCATGCCTGTTGCATGCCCTGAATTTTTGATCAGATCTGCCACTTAAATATTGAAACTTGTATGTTTCAATAGTGACCATTTTATCAGTCTTTCCTAAGACTGCAACTGTAGATTTAATAAACCAGCCTGAAATTATCATAATGTACTTCCCTGTTTATTTTGTCCCTCACAGGATAATCTGATGGTGCCATGTTACACAGCACGAAAAAGTACACTGATCAACATAAAGCAAAAAAAAAAAAAACTAACAGAATAATAAAGGAGAGAAAGGCATTTTCAACACACCAACAAAAAAAACCAAGATTATGAAAAAGTGGGATAGCATAAGGCCTGTGAAAAGTATTTGACTACTTCAGCCTGACACAGCACACAAGTATTCAACGAACAGTTGCCAAATAATCACACCAGTGGCATACAGGCAATTAGGAGATATTTATCAGTAAGGCGGCCGGACCCCCAAATTATTATTCAGTGCTCTAACTTAGGAAAGAGGACTTCAGGCCACCCTGACACGTTGCACTCACCAAGCAAATGGCTAACTAGGAATACCTTAACAGACAAGAATAGCTAGGCGTAGCTATCGCGTTTTTATAGCCGGCAACTTCGCTCCAAGCTGTACACGCAGCGCCGCGCCGCGCCGCGCCAGCCCGGCACCGACCCTCAAAATGGCGCCGGCCGGCGTCACGGCCGCGTGCAGCGCGCGCGCCCAAGCTCCGGCCCCGCGACCTCCCCCCCCCCCCACCACCACAAA